TCCATTTTCATTATAAAGGACAAATATTTCAGCGTCATTTGCATCTTGCTGCGGGAAAATATTGAGCTATCCGCCTCCGAAAGTCTCGGCGATGGCTGTAATGACAGTCACGTCCCAGTGGGTTTGGGGAATTACATAATAGGTGGAGCCGCATATCATCTGCATAATAAAGAACATCGATGGTATGTCTATGCGGTGACCTAAACACGACACAGCGAGAACCGGCCGGGGCTCCGACCCCTGGGGGACTCCACAAAGCCTCCTACGCCCCAAACACGAGGGTCATTTTCATTTACAATCTGCAGTAAATAGATTTTTCCAGAAGTGTGACCAAAACCAGAGATTCTTATTCCAGATATTTGCATCTCAGAGCCGGTTCAAGGGTTAGGATGCCAAAAGCTTTAGGCACATCAGATGTTGAGATTCTTATCCAGCATTCTGATTAGTAGCAAATGGATTCTGCAGCGTGACATCGACCCCATACGTACAGCTGGAGTTAACCAAAAATAACCTGATCAATGTCAATAATACTCACAAGATGCATTCAGTCCCAGTAAAGAGGACGGATGCACATTCAACATGTCTGTCGGTTACTCATAGTATGTTCTGGTGAGTAACACTGAATGTAAACTCCATCTGCTAATGTTATGTTCAGTTCTGGATGGAACCTTAAATAGAATAAATAAAAGGTCTGTTGCCATTTTAAACTACATTTATTGTTGGATCAATAACTTGAGTCTCTCTGCAGCCGATATTTTTCACAAGAGGCTTGTTAGCCAGCTTGGCTGCTAATGCTAGCGCTCGCAGTTCGTCAGTCTGGGATTACAGGAAGAGACGGAAACATCCGAGTCAGCTGTGATCTACTGATAACTGTGGCGAGGTCACGTAGATACGAAGAGACAGTCACACCAAACATCAGTGTGATTGTTTTCTATTTACTTCTTTAGGTAAAAACTATGCATGACATCCTCCCTTCACTGCACTGGATCTGTACACTGAACATTGTACAAATGAAGAGCAATAAAATAAAATACCTTTCCACAGTTCATCAGTCATAAATAAAACCTGCTCAGAGTGGGAAGGGATGCCATGAAGAGAGCCAACATGTGAAGCCCCCACAGAAATCTGGACACTAACAACGCTGGAAAGTCATTGATCTGTGGTTAAGACTGTTGTACGCGACGGTAAAATATTCTTTATAACATCTTTAATTCATAAAAACCTCTCTTAAAAACATGCCTAAACTCCTTCCAAGTCTGTTCGTACAACAGAGCCTTCAGCAGTGTTCCAATGGTTTTTTAATAAGCAGGCAAACAGGTTAACAATCCTTTATGCCCGCGCAAGGCAAAAAATATGTATACTATCAATTATTTATCCGACTTCAGCGGGTTTAGCACATTGATCGCTGTTCACAAAAGCTTTAGACACTTCATTAAAGGACCAGTGCGTAGGATTTAAGGAGATCTATTAGCAGAAATGGAATACAGTATTTATAATCACGTTTTCATGAATCGCCTGTAACTATGAGTTGCTGCGGTTTCTTTAGCTTGAGACCTGCATACCTACACAGGTCCTCGTCCACGCGGTGCCCCGCATTGTGCCGCCATGTTCCTACAGAAAAACTGGCTCCAGCTTTACACTAAAGCCACCACAGGTTCTCCAGTTCATTGGTAAAGTAGAGATGTTCAGTCAATCTGCAGCCTCCTCACTAAACACTACGAAATCCAGCAAACTGGTCCTTTAAATGAAAGATGCATGTGGGATCATCTGTGCAACGGTCTTTGCTAATAAGTCCCGTAGGTCCCACCTACAGTATTGACCTTTGTGCAGGTCCGCTCAGTATTTACTCGAGCACTCTTTGCACTCTGGACACTTGGGCTTTTGTGTTCTTGTTAACAGTTTGACTTGTGTGTAGACATCATACTGGATGTTGTTGATCAATGCTGCTTGCTTTTAACGTATGTATTGAACCTGTTTAACCAGGTTACAACAGAGACCCTTTTCCTGTGTGTACATAAGATTTAAACGCTCAGCTTTGTTGTCTTTGTTTTCAGCTGCATGTCTTTCCATCTTGTAAAAAAAAAAAAAGAGGTCTCAAAGCTGTGTGTAAGTACCGATACAGAAAATGAGAACAGAATTCCCTTCATATGTGTTTGGTTTTCAGCGATTCAGTTCGATTTAAAATAATGGAAACCAGCCAGTCAGACCTTTAGTTTAAGATGTTTTACACCAATAATTGAGTGGGACATTCAGCCCTTTTGATAATATAGTGTCCAAATTGTAGGGTTTAGTTTTATTATTACTGGAATTTTATATAAATAAAAGTTAAACAAAATCATAATTGTTTGATATTTTGTGGAAAAAAAAAATCTCTAAAGTCTCACAGACACCAACAACTGCTTCCTCGTTTTGACTCGTCACCGTTTCTGGAGCAGCTGTTTGTCATTTCAGGCTCACTGAAGATAAGTGAGCTCATAGAGGTCTGATTGAGAGTCGCCATTAGCACTGGGATGGAGCTGTCTGTCAACCTGGGGAATTATTTGCATGGTGAAGAAACACCTCCTCAAGAAAGCACAGGAAGTTGAGCGCTCCCTCCAGGATGAGGCGTACATGCAGGACCTAAAGACGAACGCCTGGTCAGAACAACCAGTCTGCAAGAAGATCCACAAAGAAACTCGAATTCTTTGGACTGATAAGAACAAAAACAGCTTCTATCAAAACGATGGGAGAAAAAAACCATAACAGCTCATGACCCAAAGCATGCCAACTCATCTGTCCATCATGGTTGTGGCTCTGTTATGGTTCGGACAATCATGGCTGCCAACAGAACTGGTCACTGGTCACGGAGCTAACAGGACGAACGCAGAACTTTACAGAAGGAGTTTTTTTGTGCATTGATTTAGCCAAAAGCTGCACATCTCATTGGAGGACATCTCATAAGACAATAACGAGCTTTTCAGGGTGAAGAGGTGGAACGTTGTGGCTAAAAACCAGTCTGAAGGCAGATGGAACCAACATGGAGGTGAAGGTGGCTGCAGTGGAGGCCTTGCAGAAGATACAAAGCATTTGGTGACGCCTCTGTGGGATGCAGACTCCAGGATCTTCCATAAAATCTTTAGTATGATGATTTAGTTGACTTGGTTCGTTTACTGTTAAACCGGTAAACATTGGGCCCTCTGTATTAAACCGGCTGTATCTCACACACACACATGTTGGTGTAAAGCTACTCAGAATAAAGCCGACTGTATTTAAATTCAGACTGAGTAAGCTGAAGCAAAGGGCTTGAAGAACAAATACTTAAAGCTGGACTGTGCTGGGACGGTGCAGCTGATTCTGATTCTGTCTGCTGATGTGCTAAACTGAAGCACATCTTTAAAACAACAATATGACTGATGCCAAACAAGCTCACATAGCTCATCAAGTGAGCTCTGCTTTATTCCTGTCATTCTATCCCACATAAATATCACAAAAAATAAAATATAAAACCACTAAAGTATCATATCACAGTATGTGACCACACAGCCTCCTTATGAGATGTTTTTAATCACTAAACTGCATCTAGATCTGTGTCATGTGATTCATTCACTTCCTCATGTTTGTCCTCAACTGACTGTCTGTGTCTCATTTTAGATTTAAATAAGACCATTTTTAACATTCTGTGTTCTGCATCGGGGTCAAATAAGTTGCAAATTATCATAAAAAACATAAATATGATAAAGTTCAGTCGTGGCCAGTGGTGCCGGTGAAGCGACGCCGAGCTGACCGAGTGTGTTACAGCAGCACCTGAGCTGCACCGTCTCCACCGAGCTGCTGCAGATGTGATCGACTAGCAGATGGTTTCAGGGAGAGAAACAAAAAAAAATCGTCTTTAATTCCTAATTTTCCAGACTGCTGTACAGATCAGTGATCATGTTGCAGGTTGCTGTGCTGTTGGGCTCCTGAGCAGGTGATCTCCTCTCTGGAGCGCGCTACACCTTCGTACCTGAGCCTGCACTGCCATCTGCTGCTCTTGGGTATTAAATGCACCACACAGGAGCCCACAGAGAGGCCGGGTTGATGGGTCACGTGTTGCATTCAGCTGCTCATCGGATAAAACCCTCATCGGTAGATGTTTTTAAACTGCGACACCTCACCAGAGAATCATCGATCAATACGGGGAAAAGATCTTTGGATGGATTGCATCTCAAGGATCTCTGAATGTTGTTTTTATTAAAAACTTGATGTTAAAAAGCATCTTTATGGACAAACAGGAAACAAAAGGCTGCAGTGTTATGATGGTTTACATCTTCATCCATCTTAGTTTCACAATTACAAACATAATAAGACGGTTAATGCATCCAGCCGCCCCACTTATTCACTACCTCTTTATTGCGTTCCACAAAATGGCACAAACCCAACGTTAAATGTCAGCTGGAGGCAATAACAAGGTTAACCGAGGGAATCTACCCGATCAATATCAAACAAGACCGGGATACCTTAAAACACTGGCAACCCTATGTCTGCTTGTTTTGTCTTTTCTCTCTCTGACAAATCATCGTGATGGACTTTCCGCCGCTTTTATCAAATCTGAATTACAGCTGCTGTAATGAAGATCTGCACCAGAATCCCACGTTGCATCTAGAGCCAAAGAACCGACGCTCAGCCGGACAAACACCTCGTATTAAACCCACAGAAACACACTGAGCTGTTCTATCTCTACACATTTTATTCCTTAGTCTTCATTAGTTCTGATTTTGTGCACCAGCTAGCTTAGCAGATTGTGTTTTTTTTAACTATAGCTTGAATCAAAATCGAAGACTAATAATAAGACTAACACACGAGGCCAGCTGATTCCCTGTCTGAGGATTTGCAGCACGTTTTTCAAGCAGCACTTGAATGCAGCAGCTCTAATCTGGTCTAATCTGGGCAGGAGCATCAGCGGATGACAGCGATGACATCCGCGGACACTAGCTTTGCTGCTCAAGTGAAATAAACGCATGGCTGTCGTTCTCTGAGACAAAATGTCTATAACAACTTGCCAGAAGGTTACTCTTATATCATGCTCTGTTCTCTGTGTTTCTCTCTTCCTGCCCAGAATGCTTTTACCCAGAGGGAAAAAGGAGATGGGGCAGCCTGAGGGTAAGGCGGCTTATCAGATCATCATCCATCCATCTCCATCCTGCTCCATCTCCAGTGTCTTTTTTTTGTAGCTGCTGCTGCTGCTGTTGTTGTTGTTGCCAGATGTTGCTCTATGCAGAGTGCAGCAGGCCTCCAGGCCCCATCCTCGTGCACACATGTTCATCCTCATAATGTGATGCGATGGATGAAGGGTAGAAAGAAAAACATGCAAATTGCAGATTTTGAAAAACGTGTTTGCGGTGTACGTTGTTCTGATATGGAAATTATGCATTTGTAAAAAAAAAACAACAACATTTGAATCTATTCAAACGTGTTTGTGGAGATCTGAAGCGACCTATGAAACCAGAACATCCCATCCTAACCTGCATGGACTGAAGTTGCTGCGTGTTGTTGTTCTAACGTCGTGCATGACATGAACTGAGCTCCTGTGTTCAGAGACTTGAATGTAAAAACAACGGCGGGCGCTAAGCACACGTCTGTTCTCATTGTTGTGCTTTAAAAGATTAGAAATTAAAAGCACAATAAAAGGCCTCCTGAAGTATATCTGGGTCATTATGTTTTAAATCATCAGGAGCCTTCTGCTCGACCATCCCTCATCTGCTTTAAAAATATATAATTATCACAGACTATGGATGATTAAAATGCTATTTGTGACATTTCAGCTTGATATATCAAATAGTTTCAAAGATAAAAAATATTATTATTTATGTAAATTTTTATATATTGTTGTATTTTAAGAACCGTTTTGAAACTCCATCTTTTTGGATTAAGCTATAGTCCTGAACAAACGTTTACATATTTAATAAAGTTTGTAGGACTCCTGTTCCTCTGAACTCTCTATAATGGAACGATTGAAACTAAAGCGTCTTTGTCACAGATGCACTTTGGTTTTTACACAGATTTATTTCAGGTCTTTTGGAAATTGCTGTGTGAAAAATATACATACAGCAACGCTAGTATTTGGCTAAATTCATCATTCTCTCCTCAGTTAGGTGCTTTGGTGGCTGTCCACAAGCTTCTCATTGTATCTGTGACCTTTGACAGAATTGGTGCAGTTAAAGGTACAGTTCAACCAGATTTGTTGGCTTTATGACTCTTGTTTTTCATCACAGTCCACAGACTCTCGATGGGACTTTTGGGAGGCCAGTCTATGAAGTGTTTAGGGTCATTGTCTTGTTAAAACTGCCAACAGCGTCCAACTTTCAGGCTGATGCTTTTAGGTTTTCCTGAGCAATGTGGAGCTCATCTTCCTTCTTCCTTATTCTATTTACTTTGTTTAAAGCTTCAGCTCCACTGACACCAAAACAGCCCAAGAGCATGATGCTGATACCAGCATGCTTGGTGATAGGTTTAGATGATGGGGTTCAGTCCTCCAAACAGTATCTACCAACGTTAGTTATGAAATGAAAACAACTTTCTTTTAATTTGGTACTTCATATCAAAAACGTACCCTATATGTTGACTTTCATTTTTGTGTTGAAAGATGGGACTTTTCATGACAGCTTCAATTTTTTTTCACCCATAATCAGAGATTATTTGATCTACTTGTCCAATCAGCAGCATGACGAGACATAACAGTTAAAGTTATAGCCCTTTATTCCTAATAGTTCCGATACATCGTCATCCAAACATAACTTTAAATTTCAATGCGTGAATTTTTATTTATTTTTTTAAACTGCTAAAAGAGAGTTGATGGGCTTTTTTTTAAATATATATATATTCTCTGGAAAAGTATTTTATATATACAGCTAAAATTTCATCCATATTTAATAGAATAAAGAAAAATCAGAGCAGGAGGAGAAGAAATGGTTCTAAAATTGTGATGATCTGAGATAGAAAGACTCCTGTTGGACCCAAACAGACACCAGGTCCACATGGTGACAAGCACCAGCCCGGAGCTGCTGTCAGAGCGGATCAGTCGTCCCAACAGGGACCCGTCTCATCAGATATACATTTGCAGATGTTTGTCAGTCGACCATAAACAAACCAGAGTGTCTAGAGCAGCTCATTATGATATCGTATAAAACTAATGTTTTATTTGTGACACCTCTGTAGGTTTATATGAGCCGGAAACATTCAAATATAGACGTGTTTGGAGCAGAGGATCCTCACAGGATGTTGGAGACGCTGTTTAGTTAATATCCAGGGTTAGTGTTAGAAAGTAGAACGTAGTTTAATCTGATGAGTTTTAATACATTTCATCAGAGCTCATTCTGAACATGGATTTGATGTGACTTCATTATGTGAGCGGCTGATTCAGTTACAAACAACCTGCTGTCTGGAAACCACAAACCAAGCTTCAACCAAAACAAAAACCACAACCTGATGCTGATCAGAACTCATCTGTGACCAACAAACAAACAAACTAAATGTCAGAAATGTCACTTCATACCACAGAGCACGTTTCTCTGACTAACCCCTCCCTCCTGGCTGGACTTCCTCTCTGTGTTCTGCTCACTGTTTGGCCTCGTTGTGCGTAAATGTAACCAAGAAACAAACAAACGTTGCGGTTTCCTACCTCACTGCTCCAAACAGGGACTCCTCTTTGCAGCCACTCATTTCTGGAGCCCACAGGTGAGGTAATGAAGTGTTTCCTCCTGTGCTTGGTTTGCACTTCAGTGGCTGTCTGCTGGTCAGTTTCCATCTGTAGCTGCTGTGAGTGGCATCAGGCCAACATCCGCCGAACAGATGCGTGTTTGGACTTCTGATGCTGGAGCGACTGTTTTAGGACTGGAAGAGGGGAAACTGTGGATATAGTTGTTTTCAAACGTGTAACAGTCACGCGGCGTGTTGTGCCGGTTCAGGAGGATCTGCACACCTGTTCGGTACGTGTGCGTAAAGAGGCGCGTAAAAGAGGCGTCGCTTTTTAAAAAAAAAAAAACCTATAACCGACTGTGGGTTAAGATGAGGCACCGTGAAACAGCGACACCTACGTCTAGGAAGGCCACATGTAAACAACGTGTTGGCATAACTGGAAAAGAATAAACTCTAGAGAGAGAAAAACCCGAATATAACAGCGTTTTCTTTTCGTAATTTGTTGGGTTTTTTTCTACTAGAAATATGCAACACACAGTGGTGACATGCATTTAAGTGTATTTACTCAAGTTCTGTACTTTCTGGTACAATTTTGAAGTTTACTGGAGTATTTTCTTTTCATATTTGTATGTATTTGTTGTATTTTTGCTCCTCTAGCTTCGGCTGGTTTACAAAATCAAGATGTTTGTCTTCATAATTCTTTTCAAACACGCTGCTTCTCTGTAAACTGAACAACTCAACTGTTTTGTCCAAATAGAGCTAAAACAATCAGCTGATACATGGATTAGTCGACTGACAGAAAATTAATTAATTTTATTAAGTGTTTTTGTTTTTTAATATAGCCCAGATTTCAGTTTTCTGGCTTCTTAAATGTTCATCTTCATCTTCTCATTTTGTCATTTTCATGGTTTTAATTGATTGGTCGTCATTTTGAAGCTTGTACGATGGTCCTCAGAGGAATAAGTTGTGATTCTGTTATCATACTGAGGAACAAATTAATTAAACCCAATGATAGAGGTATAACACAATAATATTACTTCATGACACAGGCCATAGTTCTCAATATTTAGCATTATTTTCTGCACTTTTTAAACATTGTTTTTTGGCCTTTATTTGCCCCGGTAGTTGAGCGATAGCTGAAGGGAGACAGATCAGAGCTATGAATGCATCCTGTGGGTTTTCTGTAATATCCTGGAAGAACATCCCAACATGCTCTGAACTGCAGACTGCAGCAAAATCATGTATCTACAGACTTTGTGTTTCCAAAACATATATTACTAATAAAAAATCAAATAATACTGAATTTAGGAATCTCTTGGGCCCTCTGGTGTCTTTGACATCATCCTCAAACATTCATCTGATAACAAAGAATCACACTGAGACAAAATCTGATTCCATATAATTCAGCAATATTCGATTTACTCCCGTTACTCATGCAATTAATTTCTGAAATGAACAATGCAAAACTGAAATGAGTCGATGCTTATGTGATAAGGCCATGGAGCTGGTGACAGAGGCAGCACAAGTTGCAGATCAGGAGAGGAGCGCTGTGGGGGGCTCAGTGCCACCTGGACACAAACCCGGGCCGGACCAACCCCAGCCGGGTCGCCTACGTGGAGGTGTCTGATGCTGAAAGACCCGAAACACTCAGAGAACCCAAGAAACAACCCCAAAAATACATCCAAGTAATATCAAGATGATGTAGAAAAGTTGATCTGGTGATGTGTCATTTACTCCCATTACTTGTAGAATAAATTTTTAAAATGAAAACTGCAAAGGTGAAGTGAGCTGAGTTCGTTAGGAGGTATCTGATATATTTGGGATTTGGATGCCTAATCAGATTTATTTCAAGACATCACTTTGACTCTGGGAAATTTCAACATTTGTCAGGAATTAATGATTAATCAGCAAATCTAGAGAACAATCAGACCATGACTCAGCAAATAAAATAACAGCATGAGAGAAAAGAAACCAATAGATGACGGGATCTCTGTGTGGATAAATGCAGGACATATCGGCTTCAATGACTGATTCATCGATTGATTTTTGTCTCCTCCAGTTGGACCCGGGTTCTACCCTCCCGTGATGCATCAGCTGTCGGTGCCGCAGGACCCGGAGCAGTGGGGCGTGGACACCTCGTACTCCATCACGCACAGCGTCGAAGCCATAGTGAAAGTAAAAGGACGAGCCAAAAAGTACAACCTGATGGCTCAAGTGATACCAATATATGGCTTCGGGATCCTTCTTTACATCCTTTATATCATCTATAAGGTGATTATTTGACTGATCTGCGCAGTAGGATGTGATTTATACTTTCTATAGAGTCCCACATGTGACTGTCAAGTATGATTAGATTAATAGTAGAATGTGATGCAATAAACTGTATTGTATGCAACCTAAATGTAGTTTAATGAAAGACACCCTGTAGATCTCTGTTGCAGTAGTGACTCTGGTTGTGTTTACAGCTGACATGTAAGGGGAAGACCAACAAATCAGGAACCTACACGACAGCAACCAGGACAAACATGGAGACTGTGACGAGTGAGTCCCTTCAGCATTTGTCTCATTCTGAAAACTCTGTTAACGTCTTCATAGTGATTTAATTGGATCTGTCAAACAAAACCAAAATGTGGTGGTAAAGCATGTCATAGTGAAAGCAATGAGGTCCACGTGGCGGCCCAGCTTCTCCCTCTGACGTCCTGCACATGTGTTTCAGCAGAGATAAAATTTAACACACTTACGTGTAATTTGTACGTATGGCGGTGGGATGGAAATGCATTATAGTCTGATATTAAAGCCATGTTTTCTCCTCTAAATCACGCAGCGGCCGATCACGAGCTCGTCAGGCTGCAGGAGAGGCTGCTGCGGACTGAAAGGATGATGGACAGGATCGTCTCTGGGAAGAGCCATTGTTCTGGGAGGTAAGAATTTATGCTTCTGCTAACATCCGGAGCAGCGAAACACAAAAGGAACGACTTCATTTTGGGATAAATCAGGTTCGGCGTGACATGAAAGAGAAAATTATGCAAAAGTGGAAAAGCATATTTAAGCATATTTCACTTAAATAGACACGCTGTTGTTTTCTGAGCTCATAAATTGTTTAGAGAGTAAATTAATGAATAATTATGCTCACTTTTGGACATGCTTTTGGATTAAATGATGCCTTTCAACAACATAATAAGACTCAGTCATTTAGTCTAAGTGATTTTTATCAATTTAAATTCTCTGATACTTTAAACTTTGGGAGAAAAAATGAGTGTAAGCATGTGGCAGCTGGAAGTAACACGAATGCACAACAGTTTACTCATCAGGCGTGGAGGGATGCTCCTCAGCTTTGCTCTCTGACTCTGCTCTCATACGTGTGCTGCTCTCTAGTGGCAGGAGGAGGAAGAGCAAAACCACCACATCAAAGAAGGAGGAGAAACTGCTCAGGCAACTTAGACAGATCACACAGCTGATGCAAGAGGGCCGGCTGGAGGGAGCCTCTCCGGAGATGGAGGCTGAGGAGGTTCCCTACGGTGCAGACTGGGAAGGTACACGCCTCAGTATGAATCTCCAAGCTCCACAAAATGTTTTACTAAACGTAGCCGCATTTGCCTCCACTGAAATCAAACACACCTTTAGTTGTATGCAGCTGTTTTATACAACAAAACACTCGTACTGAACATCAAGTAATGTCTGTTTTTGCACACCGATGCAGGCTACCCAGAGGAAACCTACCCAGAGTACGATGACGTCTTGGAACGTCATGCATTTGAGACCTTCACTCTGGAGGAATGCACCAGCCAGCCCACTGCCGAGGCTCTGGCCGAGAGGATGGAGCAGGAGGAGGAAGAGGTCATGGCCAGGAAACTGTCCGTAGTGGAAGAGGAAGATGAAGAAGAAGAGGAGGAGGAGGAGGAGGACAAAGAGGATGAAGATGAAGAGGACGAGGAAGAGGACGAGGTAGAGAATCCAGAGGAAGACATGGAGGAAGAGGAGGAGGAGGAGGAAGAGGAGGAGGAAGAAGCAGAGAAGAGGCAGCTGCTCCGAACGTCATCACCTCGGCCGCCTCTGGCAAGAAAGGAGGTGAGAATGGGGCTGGAGGTGAGCAGAGAGCTCCAGTGTCCCAGCGGAGGGAGGAAGCAGATAAGCTTCAGCGAACACAAAGACGTCTTCCACTATCCCAAAGAGGGGACTTACGAGGAGGACGAGGAGGA